GTATTGCTTTGAATTAAATTTTGAATTCTTCTCATTATCCTTCACTTTCGTTCATGAAATAAACATTGTATTTTAACTTTACAGCATAATTTCAATACAAAATGCAAATGTTCCTCGCTGTCTATTTTGTATAAAACAAGATTGCTGGTATCGACTTGTCGGACAAATCGTTGGAATTATATGACCCCGATATGAGATCGATCCAACAGAATATGGAATACAACCCTAATTTATTTTCTTTTCAGAATTTTATTCGATATTGTCTCAGTTGAATAGGTTTATCAAATTTTACTTCCGATAAACTGCAAATATGTTTTTATCCCTTTAATCGATCTCATCCATAAAATATGGAATTACAGAATTAATGTTGCTTAGAATTACCTCTGTTATACAATTTATATTTTTCAACTGGTCTATATATTTATCAGTTTAAGATTGTATTAAGTAATTTTTCCTATACCAAGTATTATTTTTGATTAACAACATCTTATATCCAATGCCTGTATCATTTATCGGCAAGGAAGTGGGCTACGCACAAAAATTAGCCATAAAGACTGTTACTCCCGCCAATCTAAAGCATCAGACCGGAAGGTACCGTCTCGGCCTTTTGGCCAAATTAACAGAGAAGCATTACACTGAATAGTTTAATGGTAGATCTTTTTTCCTAATTGCTGGTTTATTAATTAAAAATAAATCAATTAGCCCAACATGCCTTTAATCATTCAGTCAACATTAATGCCAAAATGAAATATTTATAGAATTAATTCTAATAAATTAAATTCAAATTCATGGGTCAAAGTTGTTTTATGATTTTTTTTTTTCTAAGTGAGAAACATTCTTGGAGGAATTTAGCTTGCTTTTTATTTGATTTAGGAATAGAAAAATCTACGCGGGCTGCAGAAGCAAAATTAATTGATCGTGATATGCTTCATGTACATTTGGACTTTGAGAGACTTTGAATGCTTTTAAAAGCATCACACCGTATAGTAAGAAATTTGAATGCAAATGAAGAATAAGATGCATGGGTTATGAAAAAATACTAATGTTGATCTACATACTATATTTTTACTTAATTATTTAGCAAATATTTAATAAACAATCGATAATGTTTAGGATTATTCAGCTCATTTGGATTCGCTTCTGATTTTTATGAATTCATTTTTCATAATCGTTTATTGGTATTTATCGAAAATATCTTTAAAATATCATAATAATTATCGATTAAAATTGGGACAAAATACACATATAAAAATAAAGAATTTCTAAATCCACATAGATTTGTTGATGTAAAAATTGAAAAAATTTCCATACACGCTTTCCTGTATTTGAGCGCACCTTATAAGCGTAAACCAGAAAAAATCCCGCAAAATAATGTCAAAGAAATTGTGACGTCGTTTTAATCTCGCAGTGACGTTATATTTTCTGTACACTGACGTCGCAGCCAGAGGGTTAAATAGCTTTTTTGAGCTCTATTTCCTTATACTATCAAGGCGGAGCAACTGTCATGACGTCAAACCTCATCATGACCTCATTACCATATTATCTTCATGTGTAGCCTTAACTGTACTGCTTTATATAGAAATATCACACTGCTGTTTTGATTTCGGCCCTAGTATCAGCCCGAGCGGTTGGTATCGGCCCAAGACCGGAGGGCACGGGCCGAGACCGTCCGAGGGCTGATACCAGGGACGAGTTCAAAACAGTGGTGTGATGTTGTTTATATCATATATCTAAAACCAAAGAAATAAAAGAACAAATATAAAGACTTTTTACCAACAAAATGTTTTATTAAATTAAAATGAGTTATCGTTCTTTATTTTCGATGTTCATCGATCTTGAGATAGGTAAAGATGTTGCTTGACAAAGGTAATTAATCATGTAAAGTGAGTATTTGCCTGATTTGGTCATTAAATAGATGAGTCTTGGTGTTTTAAAACATGTTACGATCAAGGGCACATTTAATTGCTAGGATTTAACCCTCTGGCTGCGATGTCAGTGTACAGAAAATATAACGTCACTGCGAGATTAAAACGACGTCACAATTTCTTTGACATTTCATTATATTTTGCGGGATTTTCATTTTTTTTTTCTGGTTTACGCTTAGTGCGCGTCAAATACAGGAAAGCGTATTTGGGAATTCGTTCATTTGTTACATCAACAAAACTATGTGTATTTAGAATTTTTTTTTTTTTAATATTTTGACCTAATTTTAATCATTATGATTTTTTAAGATATTTCCAATAAATACCGCTAATCGATTATGAAGAATGAACTCATAAAAATCGAATTCAAATCAGCTGAATAAACAGTATCAATAATTTGTTAAATATTGGTTAAATAATAAAGTAAAAATATAGTATATAGATTTACAATAGTATTTCTTCATTCTCCGTCTTATTCTTCATTTGCTATCAAATTTCTTAAGTACGGTGTGGTGCCATCCAAAACATTTCGCTCAAAGTCCAACTTTACATAAAGCGCACCACGTTCTTTTAATTTTGCTTCTGCAGCCCGTAGATATTTCTAAATTAAATTAAAAGCAATTAAGCTGAATTTCTCCAAGAATGGTTCTCACTTAAACAAAAATCATAATAAAACAACTTTGACCCATGAATTTGAATTTAATTTATTAGAAGTTGTATAGATATTTCTTTTTGGCATTAATGTTGACTTTTAATGATTAAAGGCATGTTAATTGATTATTTATTAATAAACCAACAATTAGGGGAAAAAATCTACCATCAAGCTGTTCAGTGTATAGCGCTTAAGATTCTCTGTTAATTTAGCTAAAAGGGCCGAGACAGTCCTTCCGGTTTGATGTTTTAGCTTGGCGGAAGTAAAAATCTAATGTGGCTAATTTTTGTGTGTAGCCCCCTTTTTGTCAGTAAATGATATAGGCATTGGCTATGAGGTGTTGTTAATCAATACCAGTAATAATCCCTTGTATTGGAAAACTTATAAAATACAATCTTAAACTGATAAATATATAGACCAGTATAAAAAGTATAATTCATATTTTTAAAATTTCAGAGGGCATTTTTATCAACATTAATTCTGCAATTCCATATATTATGGATGAGATCGGTGTTAAATTAAGAGAAAAAAATATTTTCAGTTGATCGAAGTAAAATTTGATAAACATTTTCAACTGCGTCAATATCTGACATAAATAAAATTCTGAAAAGAAAATTAATTAGGATATCCTTATTTTGTGTAGGATCGATCTGATATCGGGGTCACATAATTCCAACGATTTTGTCGTAAAAGTCGATCAAATACCGCCCATCATGTTGTTTACAAGATTGACTTTAAAAACATTAATTTCTACACCTTTTGCATTTTCTATTTAAATTATACTGTAAAGTTAAAATACATGCGAACAATATTTTATTGTATGAGAGGAACTTCCAGGATAATGAGAACAATTCAAAACTTTAAACCAATACAATCATGTATACTATTAGAATTTTAGTTTAATTTTATGCCCCGTTTCCACATCTTAATATTCTGTATTGTTCATTTGCGGGGAGATTAAGATGTAATATTCACCAGAATATATGGAGTATTCTATAAACTAGCAAGAAGGCTATTTCTAGTGTTTAGTACAGGAGGACTTTTGCTGACAAGGGCATTGTTTTCTTTTGTACTAATAAAAAATATTTTTTTATTTTTAACATTGGGTAATAAATCAAATACTAGTTTAAACCATATTTTATTTGAGAAGTACAAGCATAATAAATAAACATACACTGGACAAAGATAAAAAAAGGGATTCGGAAACATGTTTTAAAAAAACATATTAATCCATCTCCTTATTACTGAATATTTGTTTTTGTTGTAAACAACAGATCCGTTTGGGTTGTTTAGAACAAGGTTGAAACTATAAATAAATGTTCTTTTTACTTTATATGTGAGAAATATTTTTTTTTATTTCAAGGTAACTGTAGTATTTTTTGGGGAGGGGGGGGGGTCACACAAACTGACCAATATTATAAAAAAATAACTACGTAAGCATTAACTAATACAAGAAGAGTATATCTCAAAATGGGCCCAAAAGTGTTTGTAAACAAGGTATTAATCGTTTTCCTATATTACTAAACTTGTGTATAATGTCAAAATCACGAACGCCTATATTTAGAACACGGGATGGGCAGCACCACGACTATTTATCCGATTAAATGCAAACCGTGCCCCCCTTTTACAGATCTGCTGGTTGCATTTTTAATCTACGTGCATTTTTTTGTGTGTGTAATATCAAAGTGTCAATTCATTTTACTGACAACGGGAGAGCAAGGGGATTACAAAATACCTTTATTTTACACACTTATTTGGTTCTCATTTATTTATTTAAAAATGAAATTTTCAATCCTCTTTTTTTTTTTTTTTTTTTTTAATAAATCCTGACTATGTTCCTTTAAAATCGGGGTTAATTGTATTAGTGTTTTAGTGGAAAATGAATTCCTTTTAGGTTTTGAAAGCGTAGACATTAAATATAATTATCTTCAATTTTTTCAGGTTGTGTTTATTTAAAATATTCTAAATTTTAAGTTGTGTAGATAGAGAATTCTTGTATCCTTTAGATTGCTAAAACAAAGATTTTTCGATGCGACTTTTTGGCAGGCACATACAGTACAATGTCACTGCGACCCTTTGCCAAAAATAGCCAATATATTTGAGCTCGATGACATATAATTCCATAACAGAGTATTTCAGCATAGATGTATTTACATGTGTTTGTAAATTAAATGGTCCTTAAGGATTACGTTTACTCAACGTTACAGTTAACACAAACGGGTCGCCGTAGAATATGATGTTGTAAAATCGGTGACGTCATGATATATTAAATATAGAAAACATTAAGAAAATAAAGTGTTGATATTAAATTAAACGTAACAGTAAAGAATAATATTAATTTTTTTAACAATCCGGTATATGCAATTTGTTATTTGCGACATGCAGTAAATTTCGCGGCGAATGTAAACAGTCGTCTGTTAGAAAGAATGACGCGGTGGAAACGACAGGGGTTTTCAAAACAGAATAACAAATACACAAAAAACTCAGAGATCTTAAAATCTCGGTGGAAGTGCGTCCGGGACGACCACAGTTATTCACAGGCCGATCATCATCATCTTCCCCACACGGACAGCAAGGAAACTAATTCCGATCAAGTACCCCACACGTACAACGATCGTGAAGTTCCCCATACAGCTGGATGCGATGTGATTGTTCATTCAGAGAGTTCTGGGTAAGCAACATGAATATTGACCATGCATGTGATCTAATGTATCTGCGTTCATATGATTATCACATATATTTTTGTTCAATTTCACGATCTATCTGTTGGGTGAATGCATGCATGCTGTAAACGAGCTAAACATTCTCAATTTTAATTTCACGCACTCCTGCCTAATAAAAAAAATAATACAGTCAAAAACAAAATTATGTTGAAATAAAAATATCTTACATTTTTTCCTCAGAGAAATAATAGAGAGAGAGAGAGAGAGAGATTTTCTGACAGTGTGATGGTAATAGCTGGTGTCTTACATTGTCTTACTCTGACTAGAAATAGGCCTAATGTGTCAGTGTGTACTAAAAAATTAAGTACAATATGTAAACACTGGATCTGCAGCTGAAAACATGCATTCAAACAATACACATGTATGATTTTTTTAAAAAAAATTCACCAATTTTTCAAAGTCCTAAATTTTTATTGAATTTAAATGATTTAATTGATTGTAAATTTTGTGTGCAAATTCTTAATAATAATAATTATAGTACTGAACTAGTGAAATGAAATCATGAGGGTAATTTTAATATTGAACTTTGTAATTCATTTATTATTTTAAAAATTATTGTAGTTTTAGTTACAATGCACAAATTAATGTTATTCACATATTTCTACTTTATCATATGATAATTTTTAGATGAGGATAATAAATTGCACAGCCATCAAAATGATAAACAGAACTCCATGTCTACCTAAACAAAAACAGATTAAAAAAAATATAATATTAAAGTTATCTAAATGTTTATATTAGATATGATTCTTCATGGAGGGAAGGAAGGAGGGTGGTGGAGCTTGGGGTTCTGGCCGATGGATTGTCTGGCTGTAAACAGTGTGGATTGCCACTTCAGTTGTCTCACACCCAAGGAATACGCGATTGTGGCTTAGGTAGCTTTCTTCAGGTTCGGTGTCGAAATTTATGGTGTGGACATGTCAATGTGATTCCAACAGGAAAACGCCATGCTCGCATATGGGATGCTAATACTAAGTTAGCTACAGGTATAAATAAATGCATACAATTTAAAAAGTATGTATTCAAATTGTGTGTTAATTGATTTTCATTAGGGCTGGGACGATACAACTTTTTCTATATCGATATGTATCACGATATTTGAGCCACGATACGATATGTATCACGATATGTGTAATTGGTTATAAAATCTTTTTTGGCATTGAAATAAACAAAATATTTCTTTGCAAAAAAAATAATTTATTCAAAATAGTTTTTTATATGTTGTAAAACAAAAATATTTTACTCAAGTGGTGTTAATTATTATTTATTTCATATCTATATTTATATTTTGCTTATTTATTTTATATATTAAACCCCTGGCCAAATGTTAAATAAACAGAGAAAAACAGCAGTCAGAATTTTTTTTGCGATATTTCGATATTTCTACATATGTATCGATATGCGTATCGTCTTCACAAAGAATCGATATTATCGATATCTCGATATATCGTCCCAGCCCTAATTTTCATCATCATGTAACTTTTTTTTTTTACAATTTAATAGGAATGATTCATGCTGGCATTGGCCCAGCTCAAGTAAATGACCTTTTAACATCTATAAATATCCCTGCTATAAGTACAAAGACCATCCAGAATAGACAAACAGAGACAGGGCTGGCCATTGAAAAAGTTGCTGAGGACACCATCCAACAGGTCTTACAAGATGAAATCCTAGCAACAGTTGAGTAAGTATATACATGTTTACACCCATAAAAAGTGATGGTAGATCTAATATGCCACAATATTTCCTCACAAAACTAATTTTTGGGTTTTTTAGCTCACTGGAGCCAAAGGCTCAAGTAAGCTTTTCTGATCACATTTCGTCTGGCATCCATCTGTCTGTCCGTCTGTCCATCTGTCTGTAAACTTTTCAGATTTTGGACCAATTTCAACCAAACTTGCCACAAAGTATCCTTGGGTGAAGGGGATTCAAGTTTATTCAAATAAAGGGCCACGCCCTCTTCCAAGGGGAGATAATTACGAATAAGTGAAAAATTAATGGCATCTTTTAAAAATCTTCTTCTCAAGAACCACTGGGCCTGGAAAGATGAAAATCATGTGGAATCATCATCAGGTAGTGTAGATTCAAGTTTGTTCAAATCTTGACCCTTGGGGACAGGGTTGGGCCACAATGGATGATTAAAGTTTTACATAGGAACATATAGGAAAAATCTTCTCAAGAACAGCAAAGACATGATTGGTCATATTTATGTGGAAGTATTCTCAGGTAATGTAGATTCAAGATTGCTTAAATCATGACTACCATGGGAAGGGTGGGGCCACAATGAAAGTTTAAACTTACAGGAAAAAAGCCACAGTTAGTCAAAGAAATATGTAAGCATCCTTACTTAGTATAAATTTAAGTTTGTTAAATCCTACCCTCTCCCCTTTTTAGGGGTAGGTCGAGACCACTAATGCATTTAAGCTTTTCAATACAGAACTGATTTTTGCTTTTTTCCTAGCTACAGTGCTCAGGTGAGTGATGTGGCCCATGGACCTCTTGTTGTAATCAGTATTTCAAAATAATTAATAATCATAGTAGGAGTAATAATAATAACAATAAAGAAAAATTCAAAAAATAAAACAAAAACCAAAAAAAAAGCATTTTTTTTTCAGAACTGAAGGAGCTGAAGAATTAACGGTAACCGTAGATGCTGGATGGCAGAAGAGGGGGAGTGGTCACTCATTTGATAGCTTTTCTGGTAACTAGCTGTTAGTCTGTAATCATAATGTCTGCAATTTACATGATATGAGAGGTCCAAGTAATAATTTTACCTTAAATTCCTTTTCATTTTAATTGAAGGACATTGCTCAATGATTGGAGAACACACCGGGAAAGTAATAGGGTATGAAGTGCGTAGCAAGATGTGCAGGATATGTGAGAGTGCTAAGAGGAATGGGAAAGAAGCAAAGGAACAGGACTGTAGACAAAACTGGCAAGGTATTAGATACTTCAATTGAAATGAGTGTTTATATTTGAGATTAAGAATAGGATTTAATTGTTACCTTTTGGTTTTATATGTATGTAATTGTTTTTTTTTTTTTTTTTAAATAAACTGAATGAACTTTTACTAACCTGCTAAAATAGCAATTTTTGAAACTGAGAAATGCGCCTGTACATATCTTTGAATTTAATTTTCAAATGTAATATTAATCTTACTTAAAATTTCATTAACTTAGTTTTTAAATTTGTTTTTTGATTTTTTTTTTTTAGGAAGTTCTAAATCTATGGAGCCAAGTATGGTTATCAGCATGGTAGAGAAAAAACAGGACAAAGGAATAAAGGTGTCCACTGTTATAGCTGATGATGACACCACCACCATTTCTCGCTTGAAACAAAGTGTAAGCCCAAACATTAAAAAAAAATGCGACAAGAACCACATTAGAAAAAATTTTTCCTCAAGTCTATATGCTTTGCAGAAAAAACACAAGTCCTTAACTACAAAGGTAATCCACTACCTTCAAAAGTGCTTCAATTATCTACTAGCACAAAACCAGGGAAACCCAAGAGGAATAGAAAAGGCACTTGATGCCCTCTGTAATCACCCTTTTGGAAACCATGAGTCATGCAGCGATTCCTGGTGTCAGCATGTTAACAATCCGAAGCAAAGGTACTATTATACATATGACTATGTATGGACATAATTAGTATGTAATTCAGTATCAATTTGAAATAATGTATCTACATATACATTTATTATGTGCAAGCTTCATCTCGTCCATTTCCTAACCCTGATTTAATTGATTCAGTATATGTTCAAAATAAATTGAAGGTACTCTTCCTTGCCTTATGGAAAGCCCTTAAAAGACTCGGACCTTCAAGATTCACTACATTCAATATGCAACCAATGGAAGCAGAACAGCTGTAAGATCTCCAGTCTGGGAAGCACCCAACCAAATGAGTCCTTCAATAGGACTGTGTCACTGAAAGCTCCGAAAAACCACTACTTTAGCGGCTCAGCTAGCTTAAACTACAGAGTAGCAGCATCTGTAGCAGAAAAAAACTCTGGAGCATCTTATCTTGTTGCTGTGAGTATATATAAATTTATGAAAAAATATTATTTTATGAAAATTTATGTACCAAAATGTTATATAAATATTAAATGGAAAATAATCTCAAGCTGTAAAACTTTGACAAAGATGCTTAAAAAATAGAAAAAAAATTGATCATAAGATATTATACAATTATGGACTCTTTCGGTGGTGAATATGGTTTGTTATTCACCAGAAAAATATCAATATTGACCTCGGCTTTGCCTCGGTCAATATTGATATTATTCTGGTGAATAACAAACCATATTCACCACCGAAAGAGTCCATAATTGTTTTATTATATAGTCCGGATTTGAATAAATAAGACATTGAAGGCTGCATGATGATACAACTTTCATTTACGAACTTTTGTCGTGGAAAAATTAAAATAAAAATGTCCAGATCACAAGTTATAGCTTTTTGCTGTTTTTAAGACATCGAAATGTTAAGAAAATAACCCTGCAATAGGCTTGGCTAATGTTTTTCCTGCTCAGATACACATCTGGCTCCGGCCGTTGCAACCAATTGTTTAGAACGTTGTTTGAGGTGTTGATTGTGATGTCGCAATGCCGCTGAACGCGCACCGACCCTTCGGTGAATACAGCTTCAAAACCAGTGAATATGTAGTGTTTTGAACTGTTTGTGTTTGTATAGATTATATAGGGACTATAAATAGACTATATAATAAATATGTGTATGAGCAATATTTGTAATTAAATTAACATTACTAGCAAACCATATAGCTTTTGCACTAAGCTGTAGCACTACCTCCCTCCTAATGTTTAATGTTATTTTTGTCCTAACAGGTAAACAAAAAGATCGGGTTATCTCCTGGAAGGTTTACTAGGAAGTTGTGCTATCTCAGGGAATCCCAGTCCAGGAAGAGAAAGGCGATCGCCAAAACTAAGGAGGCGAAGAGAAGAAGACGTGAGCTGAAGGCTAGGAGGTAATGTAAAATAAGCTCTCTTGAATGATGCAAACATATATTAGTTATCAGTTTGATTTTTGAAATACATGAATTTATATTTATAGACTAAGCATTTTTTTCCTCATTCTTAAAGATCCTTGTGTACAACTAGTAAAGAAATTCATGAAGGATCCACATATGAATCTGGAATAGGGTTAGCTCCTCAACAAGCTAACATCATTACAGAAATTCCAGTCCCACGCCCAAGACCACAGATGGAAACAGTTGATGTTGAAAATCACACACTTATCTTATTTGATTTAGAAACAACAGGATTAGGTAATGCATTTAACACAATTTAAATGTTTCAATTTTTTTTGTGCAAGAAGTTTATATAGATATTTTCTCAAATTCAGTTTATTCAAAAGAACCATAATTATATCCCTGCTCGGAAGAAAATGATGTATACAGTTTTACCCCTGTAAAGTTTCTGTCAGTTTCTGTGTGTGCACCTTTCAATAAATTTTTGTCTCTGTTTTCTCAGCAACTACTCATGATGTTTTTAAGTCTCTATTTAATGTTTATAGGCATGCCATGTGGTGGAATTTATTTCTGTATAAATCCATATACTCCACTAGCAATTATTAATGTCAGTTGGCCTTGTGAGAATGTTTTTTATTTGTTCATTAGACATAAATAGTGATATTTTTCTTTTAGCTCGCACTTCTCATATTGTTCAGTTGGCAGCTGTACAGAATGAGGATAGATTTTCTACATACATTATTCCTAAGAAGTCCATAACGCCAACAGCTTCTGAGATAACAGGACTCTCTGTTAGGAATGGAAAACTCTACCATAACAACGAAGAAGTGACTGGCATTTCTCTGATGGCTGCATTGGATTCTTTCTTGAAATTTCTCGAAAAGTATAACAATATCATTTTAGTTGGTCACAACATTAAAGTGTTTGATTGTCCAGTGCTTTTTAGAGCTCTTGAATCATGTTCTATGTTATCAAGATTTTCAAGAAAAGTGAAGGGATTTATGGATACAAAGCTTTTATTTCGAATATCCCATCCAAACCTGAGCTCTTATAGCCAGCAAAATCTTGCAGAAAGTCTTCTTGCATGTTCATATGAAGCACATAATGCCCTTGAAGATATTTTAGTGTTGCAAAAGTTGCTAGAATTAGTGAATTTATCAGATGATAAGCATAAGTGTGCAACATTTTCATTTGATTATGCTATGAATGTACTATCTTACCAAAAGGAAGTTGACAAAAATTTTCCTTCCTTACAAATTCTTGTTCAGAAAAAGGTGTTGAGTGTGTGTATGGCTAAAAGAATAGCTGGAAGTGGATTAGATTTTGATAGTTTGAAACTAGCTTACTCTAGAGATCAGATTGGTATCCATGCATTGTTTACTGAAGTGTGTAGCAACAGTTCTGTGAGGGTGACAAAGTCGAACAAAATTATTGAGGCTGTGAGCTCTTTTTTTCTGTCGTTAAATGAAAGTTAAATATATTATAATGTGCAATGTCTTGATTTAAAGAAAAGCAATTCAATTTGATTAATAATTTATTTCCATCAGTTTTTTTTAAAACAAATTTAGCAAGTTTATTATTTACCAGTTTATGTAAGAAATTGACAGCTAGAATGTTCATGATAATTCCTGAAATAGAGAATCAATCTAAGTGAAATTATAAATAAATTTAATTTTTTTGACAAATCCATTATGTATGAAGATTTCATTTTGAAATCATCGATCTGTATAGGTTTTTGATGTGTGCTGTTAAATAATAGATTACCAATATTCATCTCACAATTATATTTTATACCTACATGTAATTAGTGATTGAGACTTGCCTAATGTAGTCTTATGCAGTATGATATAACCTCCCAAAGAGGTAATGGACTGATAATATAATTGTGCAAAGCCCATTATATAAGTTAATTTGCCTCCAATTTATAAGTTATAGTCTGTTTCTAAAGATATTTTACACTTTTTAAATCCATATCAATCTTGTAAGATGTGATTAGGTAATTAACATGTTGAATTTTTTTATTCCTGGCATTTTCTTATGTAATTAAAAAAAGTCACAAAAAGAAAACATATAGATATTGAATTTAATTCATATTTATGTGCATAACTTTTTTGAAATCTAACATTGCAACAGGTGTAGTACTATATCTCTGAAATACATGTATAAATATTTTATTACATTTTCTTACATTTTAAAGTCATCAAAAAATGTATATCAAAATGTTGTTGTACAAAATATTGCACTTATTAATCAAGCTATGACAGAGGAAATTCTGATTAAAACTTTTCAATTTAATGAAAAACCAAGATTTTTTGTTATATATTTACAAAGCTGTATATTTCTAATACAGTGATGCATTTGAAAATCTTATTTAGTTAAAAAATTATCAATATTTTTCATATTTTATTTTAAATAAAAATATAGTGGTTGGCAATGTGAAAAAAACTGATTAAAAAATTTTCAAGTGGAAATTTCTGAAAAATTTGACCATTGACCCCATATACATTTTATACCAATAAAATAAAGAGAATTTAAGTCTTATAAAAGTATGATTTATTTATTGTTCCTATCAGTGGGATTTTTTTAAATTCTTGATGAAAAACTGGTGGAATTTTGAAAATAATAGAGGAAATTCGGACTTTAATAATTTTAAATTGGTTGACCCAAATCTGAAAATTATTTGGTATTTTGCACCAGTTACTATGATAAAATACATTTTATATTCCAAAAGAGTTATGATACTACTCATATTTTGCTTGAAAAGAAAAAAATGGCTATAGTGTAGAATTTGGAGGAATTTTCCGGGAAATCTTGGGAGGTCAATAGCAAAAAAAGTAGGTCATTGACCTAGATATTCCAAAGTGGAAAATGACACTACTATTGGGGTTCTTTAATGTACATTTGTTGGTTTGTCACTCCTATCAGTGGAATTTTTTTTATTCTGAGTAAAGGTATACCTTAAGCATGATACCACAACAAAAAGTAAAATACACATAGCTCTCATTCTTCGTAATTTATAGATTTCATGTAAGCTTAGATGGTTAATTATAGAAAATCCAAGTAAAGTGAGTGTTTGCATGCAAAAAACGTATTTTAAATCCAATCATACTTTCATCAGTTCATATAATACATGTAAGATCCCTTGCCAGAATGTTATCCTTTGGAAATGTCCTATTTATACATGTACAGAACAGAACAAAACATTTATTTCTAATTTAGAGCCCAGAACAGACAAGTATGAAATTATTACAATAACATGGAAAAGAACAGTATAATAATCAGTAAATGACATTGTTCATTGTACATTTATAAAGTCCAGTACTGGACGTGTGCGTTGGGTCATACCCAGAGCGGTCCCGCGCGAGATATATGTTGCGAAATCATTGCCATGCAGAAACATAGATGGAATATGAAACATGCCTGTAGTCTTAAATTCTTAATATGCAGCATGCACGGATGGGGGGGGGGGGGTCCGGAACTCCACCCACCCCTGGCGTTTGCGGGATTCTGGATACGCGCCTGTGCAGGTGTCCTAAAAAGCTAGATAGTTTCCTGTTTAAGATTTCCTATTTTTTAATTTTCCCAAAATAAACTGTGATTAGTACAGTGTATCTGACTATTTATCTGACTCTTATCACAAAATCCTACTTCCTGAAGAGAGAGGGAGGAACCACTTTTTTTATATATTATATATGACACTCCCGAATGTGGTCTGTGCTTCATGAAGGGTCTGACGTATTTTATTTCTATATTTAATAAGTAAGGGGGGTCCTACCCCCCACCCCACCCCGATATGTGGAATATTCTAAGAGCATGAATTACTGATAAACGATCAACTCGGAACCTTTCTCAAGGCTGGCTTGCACGTACTCCTTATTATGACGTCATTTACGTAAAATGACGTTGATTCTAACTGTTGCTGCAAAATAGACGAGAGTACCAAATTTTAATTGAATTTTTAGTAGTAAGAAAATGCATTTAAAATGAAATCGTGTACAATATACATTTCGTTGAGCATGTTCAAAAGTAATACATATGAATAACAACTCATTATTTGAAAAATTTCACGGAGTCATCAGTGGTATGAATTTTACTTCGTTTATCCATATATGTCTGAAATTTTTATGATATTCTACAAATAAATCATGAAACAATTCAATGTTATACAATAAAAAGGTGCAAAGGTTTAACAATTATTTACATTGAATAAAACTAAAAGAAATACATGACCACATTTCAGTTCAATAAAATCGGTCCAAAATCGGCCCCGTGGCACTCTTACGCAAACTGTGTGATTGGCCCTGTGGCACAGAAGTGGTTAAATAAGTGTGTTGCAGGCTTATTTAACTTACATTTAAATGCAAATGCTTTTGAATTATTAAATCTTTTTATAAAAAATGCTGTGAAAATGTAATAATAATATAAAAATCTCAATAAAAATACAGAAAAAATAACGCAACATTTATGACGTCGCCAGGGACATATATGTCCCTCTCGCAGCGAACGGTAAAAGGACATATATGTCCTTCCCGCAGCCAGAGTGTTAAAGGTACCAAACTTTTGATAACTCTACTTTCACTTTGGATCGAACCGGTTTACTTGTTCAACAAATCGTCACATGTCTGAGATTTAAAGTTACTGTAACTGTTTGTTTTGCTTACGATATGTATTAAAATAAATAATGACACAAAAAAGAGAAAATTTGTTATTGTCTTACTGTCAAAGCAAATTAACGTTCATTTCTGTTCAAAACATACAACTCTCAGTAAACAAGAGTTACCTCTCTTACGTCACAACTACCATCATTTGGCGCACTTTTTAAAAACAATTTTCTCAATATTCTAGCATAAATAAATAATTCTTAAAGATTCGGGACTAGTTTTAGTATACAAAATATTTATCTCTAACACTTTAATATAAATTTTACTCTTAAATCACACAAATTAAATAGAAATAATGGATTGAAATGTGAAGGCGAGACAGCCCCTTGACAACGGGCTGAGACAGAGATATCTTAGCCCTGAGGGCGAGACAGCCCTTGTTCCAAGAGGCTGTCTCACCTAGTCCTAAACGCCTGTATCAAGGCTGATACACTACTAGGTATATGATATAATATTATCCCATTCCGTCAGGTCAATTAACAGTAAAAATTCATAGGTATTAGGTTTATTTTTCTGGATTTATTTTGGAGACATAAAAATCCGATTGCATCTTTAACATAATTTTAAATACTAAGCGTTGGTTATACATCATTCATGATATCTTTACCCATCTGCATTCCAATGTCCGTTAGATATCAGATGATAATTATAATATACGTTAAAATATAGTTTAATGATAATTTTTATCTATGCAGAACAGTCAAGAATTCCTGGAATCCCTTCACAAATCATTACCTGACCAATCGAATCTAGTACAGTACATAAGGACAGATCGGTGCTTCCTAGCACAATTTCCATTATCTCCTATCAAGAAACTAGAGAAACTAGAGAAGTGCATTGTAGATATCACTACCTTAACGAAATGGAGTGAGAAAATTCCCCACGAATGGATTTTCTTGAATGATGACATTACTGAAAAAAGAGGCATTCGTCTTTTTTTGACATTTGAGGAAATAAGAAATAGGATGCCCGTACAAAAAGAGAAAAAAAGGACAGAGTGTTTATGATATGTTAAAATATTATCACGAGGCTGGGGAATGTCTATTCTTCAAAGAGGATGGGCTCCGAGATTTGGACATTATTGATAGCCAGTGGTTTATCGATACATTCAAAACCATCATTACAGACAAATTACACGTGAAAGGAATACTTGCAACAAATAAGGATTGGAAAGAGCATTACGAAACTGGGAATTTAAAAGACTCCCTACTTGATGAAATCTGGAATTTGAACATGGGTTCATCTGAAGAGGAGTCTGGTCAATTGATTCTGCACAAACAAACTTTATTGTTGTACATGCAGCGGTTGGGTTTTTTAGCGGTCAGTAAAGATGTTCATATGTTCCATGCTTGAACAAAAAAGAATTTGCTACACCACAAAAACAAATTATTCAAAACTTACCTAGGACTTCAGTTTTGATTTATCTATTTGAATTTTTGCCTTACTTTCTGTTCTATCGGCTGGTGGTTTCTTGTATGCAATTGCCTTGGGAAGTTTTAGAAAACAATGGGGTGTCGTGTTTGTACAAAAAAGCTGCGATGTTTGCTAACCAAAATCACTATATTTGCCTTGCTGTGACAACAACTTCTATTCAACTTCAAATATTTAATCCGGAAAGAGAAAAAAACAATCGCAAAGGAAGTCAGTGTTCTTTTGAGAAGACACATAGATGAAATAATGAAAGATATAACCAGCACTTTCCACAAGCATCTTCGGTATAAGACAAGATTTACATGCACAGAGGAAAGGAAACAAGTTATTCGGGAAGACGTTGAGAAAAGTTTTATTGCTGAAAGCGAGATACATGGAGAAAGCATGATTTGTCCTCGTCATCAATTTGAATCAATG